TCTCGCCAATCTCTGTCCTAGTCCACATCTCCCATGCCCCTGATGACATCTTCTTTGACGAAACGCATTGGACAGATCCGGAAGCCGTGACATCACCACATATGCACGTGCATTGCTGAGGATTCTGGGTTGTGTAGTCTTAATGCCGATTTTATGATCCACAGTTTGTATGTGTTTTTACCAAATTTTAATAAATCTACCTGCCAGATTTACACTATGGGAAGTGGTATTTTTGGATTTTTTTACATGATTGAGGCTTGGGTTGATTCAGGGATCACGAATGTGTTGCGGTGAAAGACCACTCTGAGAGGAGAGGCCATCTTGTGATCTGGGAGAAGATACAATTCACCAAGTACTGTTTGACTTCTCTTTTGCGAGTCACATGCACTCTGGTAAGCCTCAGAGTGATTTCTGGTAGAGGACATGTGGTGCTATCATTGGTCTACTTACCACTGAAGGAGTTGTTATATTTGAAGTTTATGCTGAACATGTTAAATTTACCCTGTTCACCTGTGGACTTTCTTGGGTTACGTGAAGTTTGCACGTTCTCACTATATGAAGTCTTTGGACTTTTTGTTACTTTTTGTTATTTATTTAACATGATTTATTTATTTCTAAATGTACTATTTTATTTAGTTGAGGGCTGCACTTATTGACTATGGTCTTATTGTAAATATTCAATAGAGAAAATGGGACTTTCAGGGTGCATAAACATGAATACCACACATTACAAGTTATACAATTTTTATTTCGTATTTAGATAAAAAACACAAGAAAGGAAAAAAAAATACAGAAACATAAAAACAATTTCAATTCTAAGAATACCAGCTGAGATTCAAACTTGGTTAGGTAAACGTAGTTACTCCCTACATGTTTCACCCCATTGAGGGCACTTTTAACCCTTTGAGGACCAAGGGACGTATTTTCCCATGTTTTTAATTGCGTGTATCATCTGATTAAGAACTTAAAACTCTTTTTTTTTTTTTTGGTTTGAGTCAAAATATTTGTTCTTATCAACAAACAACAAATGGATCTAGCTTTTTGCCAATTATTTCATGAAATGGCTTAGTTACAGCAACTGAAGTGTACAAACTTTAAAAACAAAAAAATTGATTCTTTTGGCGTTCCAAAATCTTATGGTCCTCAAAGGGTTAATGTGTGGTATTCATGTTTATGCACCCTGAAAGTCCCATTTTCTCTATTGAATATTTGCAATTTTAAGGGATGTGGTACAATAATCATATCTGGTCACTCGTTTGCCACTTCACTGTTTCTATGGTCTTCTTGTATGGTCTTCTTGCTGCTATATTGAGTTTTAACACACTTTTTCCTTCTAACGCAGTGTTTTTTTTTGGATTTTGCTCCTGCATTTAAAGCCAAGTTAAAGGGCTGCTTTCAGCCCTCGGGATTGGCTTAAGCAAAACCAGAATCTTAAAATTCTTAAAGCTTGAGGTCAGTGGTTGAACCGCAGAGGAATAAGTGATAGGATAAAACTGCATAGTCAAGTGGTGGCTGACAAGTTGGAAAAATGTTAGCGTTTTTTCCATCCTGACAGGTACAAGAAAACCTGCCTTTATGTATCTTTTTACAGGGCATCCAATGTTTAAAGTTTATGGGTCTTTTAAAATGATGATAGAAAAGCTTTTAACTGTCTCTAGAGCTCCCACTTATTAGCGTGACATCACTTTCAGTTATTTTAACCACAAACAAGCTGTTTAAAATGCTGCAATCTCTTTCTTGCGTGCAGCAGTTGTGCTGTTAGAATAATTATTAACCACTCCTTTGATAAACATGTAAAAGGATATGAATTAAACCTCCACCTTTACCTGCTCTCCTGCACTAGAGGCATTTGGACATGTACCGCCTGAACCAGAACATGTGACCTGCTGAAAGGAAAGATCTACCTTTAAAGCTATATTCATGAACCCATTCTGATAACCTCCAACATCTGATCGCTGTTTAGAATGTTGGATACATAGGCATGCATGCATGTACGAAATACCCACAATAGCGCAGAGCAACAAAACCACTTAAATACTTAAATTAAAAGCAACCACCTATAAATATTAACTAAATACCAATGTGTATGATAAAAAATATAAACGTGTATAGTCCATGAGATTATAATAGTCCAATCCATGACTGAATCATCACCGTGTTAGTGCAATCCAAATAACAATGTGGTTAGTGTTCTCCGCCACCCATATATGAAAGCCGCTTACCTCAACGCCGTGACCCCTACATTACCAGTAAGATCAAGGCAAGCAGTATTCCCCTCAGAGACCAGGACTCTGACCACCACTAGACCAGGACTCTGACCACCACTAGACAGAAACTTACTCCTTCCTCCTCCAGACAGGATCCACCAGTCCTCATAGACTCAGGCACACCAAAGACACTATATTGCCAAAAGTATTGGGACACCCCTCCAAATCATTGGATTCAGCTTTTCCAATCACCTTCATGGCCACAAGTGTATAAAATCAAGCCCCTAGGCATGCAGACTGCTTCTACAAACATTTGTGAAAGAATGGGTCATTTTCAGGAGCTCAGTGACTCTAAATGTGGTCCCGTGATAGGTGGCCACCTGTGCAATAAGTCCATCCATGACATCTCCTACTAAACATTCCATGCTCAACTGTTAGTTGGCTTATATCAAGCCCCTAGGCATGCAGACTGCTTCTACAAACATTTGTGAAAGAATGGGTCATTCTCAGGAGCTCAGTGACTCCAAGCGTGGTCCCGTGATAGGTTGCCACCTGTGCAATAAGTCCATCCATGACATCTCCTGGCTACTAAACATTCCATGCTCAACTGTTAGTGGGATTATAGCAAAGTGGAAGCTGAGTTAGGTAAATTTAGCTTTTGGATCACTGTTATCAGTTGAGCTGCATGCAATTGTTTTGGTTTGTTCTGTGTTTCACTGGCTACAGGGTTGACTGCTTCCCCCTGTCTGTCTGGAAGAATTCTAGAAAATAAAGGACTGGGAGAGCCAAATCAGCAGCTGCATATTTGTGCAGTACTGGTCAATCCCTATGGGGGAGTATGCCCAGATAGTGGCTGGGAGAGTGTATAAATATACTGAGACTTAGCACAGGGGTGTCTTTTTCCAGGAGGAGGAGATCACAGCCTGGAGGGCAGCCGTCCTTCCAGGCAGGCTTGCCATATTTCTGCTGTTCAACGAGGTCCCAGCTAGGCTAACTGGGGGGGTCTGTTTTGAGCTTACTGAGGGACTTTCTGGGGACCTGGTCTACTATCACTGGAGAAGTGTCTGGAAAATATTGGAAGGGGTTGTCCAATTATCCGAGGACATTAGTGAGTACAGACTGGTGTGAGAGATCCCTGAGACAGTGTGCTGCAGCCATCCCTCTCGTGCTAGAGTCGGCATTGCTCAAAGGGACATTGTGTATGGTGTCGTGCTATAGCTCAGTCCAATATTTGCTTGTGCAAGGACTGCTCTCAGATCTCTAGGAGAAAGTTTAGAGTCCTCAAGTTGCTTCTAAAGTTACTGGAGTATCCCACAGTTACCCTAACCTATCCAAGTTCAAGTTCTGCAATAAAGCATCAGAAAAGCATACCCCTAAGCTGTTCATTGAGCCAAAGGAGGGACTGTGACTGTGTGCCTGGCTGCAGGAGCAACTACGGGAGAAGACCCTAGGGACCTTAAATTGCGGTCTCCTCAAAAGCGAGCGGAACATTAACTTGCAAAACTTCCTTCATATAGTATATCCTAGAGCTGTACCCCTTCAGTCCTAGCACTAAGTAGAACCATGACTGAACTATGCATTATGTTTCGTAAAGCCCTTCTCAGATGCCTCAGGCAACCATACATAACCCATGGTTTTTTTTAGCACCAGGAGCCCAGCACTTGGAGTTGATGGACTAGTTAATGGACATTTTTTTGTTTTGTTGCAGGAATGCAGGCAAAGCTTACAGAGCTGACAATGGAGAGATGCAGGTGAGTGCAAAACATGGTGACAGATGGTCACTGTAGTAATAAACAACAATACTGCTCTCTGCTACATGTACTCACAGCCTATTTACCTGCTTTTACTTTCACAAAATGGTTCTTTTCAAACTCTAATTGCATCATTTGAAACCATGAATGTGAGAGTCATTGGTGAATAACAGCACCAAGCATACTATTAATCTCAGCTGTTCATAGAGCAGCGCTGGTCCCAAGCTATAATAATATTTGTTTTATATTCAAAAAAAAATAATATTAATATTCAGTATATTAATAATTGTAGAAGAGGTGGTCACAGCCCAACCCCATTTCTCCTTTAAATCCAAAGACAGTTACTTCTGTCTAGTACTATTCAAAGTGTCAGATCATGTTGTGTCTGCTAAAGCAACACTTTGGTTGCCTCCTAACAGCCTCTTGACATTAAAGTGGTTGTAAACCCTTACATATACCCAGTGAAGTGACTGGCCTCATGTGATACCCAGAGATTAACCAAATCATCCTGCGTAAGTTGTACCTGTTTATCTAAGGCAGTCTTTCCCCTACATCCATTCAAAGTGCAGAATTTACACAGGACCTCTCAGCTCTGAAAAGCAGGGGGCGGGGAGCTGAAGTTATATCAATGAGGAGAGCTCTGAGAGCGGATTGGAGGGAAGAAACACACCCCCTTCACACATCACACAGAGCTGAGGCTGCCAATCACAGGCTGTTCTCCCCTGCCACCTCTTTTCTCTTGGTGTCAGGAAAATTCATCAGAAGTGATTCATGCTGATAGCAGAGGAACAGGGTAGCAGATAGAAATGACACTGCTCTGGGTTGAGAATACTACACACTATAGAGGGATATGCTTTGTTCATATTTCATGTCTGAGGTTTACAACCACCTTCGCCTCCTCCTCAATATGCCCATATAAAATACAGTACCAACCTGTTCTCCAATAGAATCCAACAGCCAGCCAGGGGCCAGAATGTGTGCTGAGATTCTCATCTCCAGGGGTGGACTGACAACTCATGGGGCCCCCGGGCAATAAGAAATCATGGGGCCCCTGTATTATCGCCCACACTCAAACCACACCTAAAAAAGCCTATGAAAGGTACCAGGGGCATCTCATGGGGCCCCCTACTGACCCTGGGCCCTTGGGCAGTGCCCAAGTGCCTAAATGGTCAGTCCGCCCCTGCTCATCTCTTGCTACCCTTATACTGTACAAGAGAGAAAAATGCACATGGGTGCTAGCGTGAACAAAATATTTGGTGGTTAATCCATTCCTAATGGTCAGTGCCTGACCAGTGTTTCAAGCCACTAATAACCATTCCTCCTGCAATGAGAATAATATCTGTGGACACTTTTACCTGTTTGGTTTGTAGAACAATTGAGCTGTTCCCAATGTATTATCTTATTTTTTTCCTCTATAACTTTTAGGGACACTCAGAGGCTTGAAGAGCTCTTCTCTAAGAATCACTTACTGCGGGAGCAGCACAAAATCCTCAATGAAAATATTAAAGTGCTTGAGAACAGGTGAGAACTGCGTCTGATCCAGGTCATTCCTACATTCCATGTTACTCCAGGAGTGAAGGGAAAAAACAGCTATGTATAAGAAGTTGTTTGGGTTCATAACACTCAGATCACTTTTAGAAATTTAGGCGCAGGTTTTCAGTACTAAAAATTGACATGTTTTAAGGAGAACTCTTCCAAGCTGGCCCCAGTTCTTTTGCTCCAGAAACATACCAATCCTCCAGTCATTCACCCAAAACTACACAGCAGAGTTCCTTCCTTAATCAGGGTTATATTTAGTTGCATATAGCCAAAATGTGTCTTTCGTATTTTGAATAGCGTAGGGAAGGGTTGTTCAGTATGTTTTTGCTATCAGTGTCCTATTGGTGAGATTTCCCTCCTAGACCGGGGTCTCCAAACTGTGTACTGTCCTTCAGACTTTAGGAAGGCTGGAGTGCCCCGTGGGAGTAGAAAATGCCCCAGTGTCAGTAGGAGTAAAAAAATTGACACAGTGCTTGTAAGTCAGTGGACAGAGGAATAGTGTCCAATCATTGGTATTAGTGGGAGAAATAGTGCCCCATCATTGGTGTCAGTGGGATGAATAGTGCCCCTTCATTGGTATCAGTGGGAGAAATAGTGCCCCATTTTTGATACTAGTTGGAGGAATAGTGCCCTATCTTTTGGTATTTGTTGGAGGAATAGTGCCCCATCATTGGTATTACTAGGATGAATAGTACCCCAACATTGGTATTACAAGGAGGTACATCGCCCCATCATTGGTATTACTAGGAGGAACAGTGCTCCATCATTGGTATTAGTGGGAGGAATAGTGCCCCATCATTGGTGACAGTGAGAGGAATAGTGCCCCATCATTGGTGTCAGTGGGAGGAATAGTGCCCTGTCATTGGTATTAGTGGGAGGAATAGTGCCCCATCATTGGTGTTAATGGGAGGAATAGTGTCCCATCATTGGTGTCAATGGGAGGAATAGTGCCCCATTATTGGTGTCAATGGGAGGAATAGTGCCCCATCATTGGTGTCAGTGGGAGGAATTGTGCCCCATCATTGGTGTCAGTGGAAGGAAAAATGCCCCATAGTTGATGCCAGTGGAAGAAATGGTACCTCGTTTGTGTAAATGGGAGGAATAGTGCCCCATCATTGGTATCAGAGGAAGGAATAGTGCCCCATCATTGGTATCAGAGGAAGGAATAGTGCCCCATCCTTGGTACTAGTTGGAGGAATAGTGCCCCATCCTTGGTATTAGTTGGAGGAATAGTACCTAATTGTTTATATCAGTGGGAGGAACTGTGCCCCATCATTGGTGTCAGTGGAAGAAAAAATGCCCCATAATTGGTGCCAGTGGAAGAAATGGTACCTCCTTGTTGGTGTCAGTGGGAGGAATAGTACCCCGAAGGCCAGGTAGAGGCAAGCAAAGGGCCGCAGTTTGGAGACCACTGTCCTAGACAGTTGTCACTGAAACAGATGTCTCCATTATAAGATCCCTCAACTCCTGTTCTGGTGACAGCATTAAAATTTTGGATTTTCCTTCGCTTTTTGTTTTTAGTTACAGTGGCCAACAGGAAAAATAGAGGGATACGTGAATCCTCTCACCATGGACACAGGCAGCAATGAAAACCTGACCGGTGTTCTAACCCTTCCCTACTTTATCTAAAACTAGCAGAAAATGTTTTTGCTATACATACACTTATCATATAATATTTCATTCATTATTATCGATTTCATTATGGTTTGTTTTTTGGTTTGTTGTTCAGGTTGAGAGCCGGACTGTGTGACAGGTGCACGTGACACCCCAAGAACTGGCCAAGAAGAAGCAGGAATATGAGAACTGTCACATCCACACTCTTCAGCAGATTTCCTCTCTCAGTGAGTATATTCAAAGGACCTTGGGTACCCCACTGACACAATTACCATCAATTAAAAGTATTAGTCCACCCGAATGGGCTGTTTTAGCAGTAGCAAGAATTTGGTTGGCTTTGTCAGCCACTGTCTTCTTTGTTTTGGATAGTCTAACAGTGAGATCTCTCTGCCATAAATCCTGGTTCTATTCCTGTGCACCTGGGAGTTTGGGTGTTCCCACTCACCTTGGTGTTCTCAGCTCCAGCTGTTACATTCTCCATAATGTAAAATGATTATAAATCTAGCAGGAATGGGGGAGCCCCTCATAATGGGCACAACAGGTGTGAGAACTCGGGTGAGAGATCTCACCAACAAAGTTCCTAGATGACAGATGAGATAGGTTTACCTCTCCAGCATCTACCAAAGATCTCACCAACAAAGTTCCTAAATGATAGATGAGATAGAAGGTTTACTTCTCCAGCGTCTACCAAAAATTGAAATTAGGTAGTACCCAGGTTGTCTTAATGTATGGGCACTGCCCAGGGGCCCCAAGTGCATAGGTGCCCCATGATAATCTTACATTACATCATACTTGCCAGCTGTCCCGGATTTGCTGGGACAGTCATGCTTTTTACTAAGCTGTCCCGGGATGGCCCAGAGCAGCGCCCCAGAACCTATACTGTACCCTCCTGATCTTCCCCTGTACTGTGCCCTCCTGACTCCCCCTGTACTGTGCCCTCCTGATCTCAGATTTGTGCCCTTCTGCCTCCACCCCCCTTGTACCGTGCCTTTTGTGCTGATTAGTCTTTGACTTGTTGCATGTTTTCTGATTGTTTAAAATTAATTTTATTGAAAGTACTAATAAATATATGTTTCATTCTATCAACTATTTATACTTTAATTCTTGAGAGTAGGTGTGTAAATTGGGGCAGGCTCCTAGGGGCCCCAGTGCATTACTTTGCTGGGTCCATGATGCTTTTAAGACAGCCCTGACAGTACCTGACTACGGCAAGCTTCATTTGCTTCTTTGCCATCACGTTTCTTGCATACCCCGTCGCCCATACATAATAATAAATATCCATACATTGGGGTTTTTTCATATATATTTATTATGTTATTCCTAGTTCATTTATAAATCCTATTTACATAAAGAATAAGTTTTGTTAAAACATTAACATTATTTCTATGAATTCACTTTCAAGACCATTAATAAAACACTTCAGCTTTTCCTCAGAACGTGTCCTTTGATCATCGCTGACAAAAAACATTGGAAAGGAAAATGGAGGCATTGCCTATCCTAGCCAGTCAGATTCCATTTCTGAGTTTTTGAGGAAGTTAGAAAATTTTAAATATTATAGGTTTGTTTTCCCAAATTTCTGCTTCACAAACTTTGGTAAATGAGGCCCAAGTCCAGTCTTAGGGCTCAGTTACACTAGCAGTGCTCTCTGAAGAGTGATCCATGTCAGAGAGCAGGCGTTGTATTGCCTCCTCACTGCCTGCTTTAATACCTTGATGCCTGCACTAGCAGAGCATCTGTGTTCACTCGGGTCTTGGGCAGGGGCGGACTGACAACTCATGGGGCCCCCGGGCAATAGGGGATCATGGGGCCCCTGTGTCCTTGCCCAAACTCAAAAAAGCCTATGAAAAAGGTACCAGGGGCATCTCATGGGGCCCCTTACTGACCCCGGGCCCTCAGGCAGTGCCCGAGTTCCCAAATGGTCACTCTGCCCCTGGTCTTGGGTTGTGTTCAGTGGATACTACGCTTGCCAAAAGGGACAGGAGGATAATTCCTGCCGTAGCCGTGATGCTTTGCTTGGAGTATGTGTACATTCCTGATCGCTGCCTCTGCAGCTAGAGGGTAGCAGGTGGGAGGGGGCAGTAAAAGCGTGGCTGCACCACATGGTTTTAGTGGCCCCAACCTCATGTGTGAACAAGTCCATACACTGTCACAGAAGTCTCAGACATCATGTCACTTTGTACTAGTCACACAGACTCGCATGTTGTGTGGAGCACAATAATAAAGGTACGGTGATATCTTATACAAAGGAGTGTTGTGATTACAGGAGAATGGAGTCTGTGTCACAACATTTCTTTGTTCCCTGTTCCTGCATTAAATGCCGTACTGTGACGGAAGAACGTGTCCCGATGGCTCCATCTAAGCTCTTTACTGCTGCTATAAAATTCAGCAGGTAGATTGTTGGCAAGTAAACCAAGAGTGTCCCTAAAATGTATATGGCATTGTTAGTAACAGAGGACCCAGTTCTAGGTGTATTACATAGTTACATATTTAGTCTGGCATAAAAAAGACAAAAGTCCATCCAGTTCAACCATTAGAAAAAAAAAGAACGTTATAATCCTATACTCACAGTTGATCCAGAGGAAGGCAAAAAAACCCAGCAAAGCATGAACCAATTTGCTCCTGCAGGGGAAAAAATTCCTTCCTGATCCCCCGAGAGACAATCGGATATTCCCTGGATCTACTTTACCGATAAATGTTATATCCAGTTATATTCTGTGTATCCAAGAAACAATCCAGGACTTTTTTTAAAGCAATCCACTGAGCTGGCCAGAACCAGCTCTTGAGGGAGTCTATTCCACATTTTCACAGCTCTCACTGTGAAGAAACCTTTCCGTGTTTGGAAATTAAATTTATTTTGCTCCAGACGTAAAGAGCGCCCCCTTGTCCTCTGTGATGACCATTCAGCATAATGCTGTATCCACATAGGGATTAACATAAAGAAGCCAATCAAAACTTTCAAGCAATTGACTTAAGGTGATTGTAGCCGTATTACTGCATTTGCCACAGAAACAATTGAGTACTGACGTGATACTTGTTTTATTGGCACTAACAT